CGTTTGTCGAAGGATTTACTTGACTTGTCTCTTTGACGAGTTCGTAGCTTGGTGCGGCGAATGGCAACTGACTGATGATGCCGGCGAAACGTCTAAAAATGTACCAATTCCACTGTCTGCTGCTGGGATTTATGATAACTACTATGTCGCCCTGACAATAAAACCAAGTTGCGACAATGAGTTCAATCCACTTATTTTAGTATTGCCTCTTCAAATAAATGTTCCTCAAGTTGTCCATATAATTGTTCGCCTAGATGGTAGTCCAGCAAGATCCCCTCGCAAACCCCTTTGTCTATACCTAAAACCTATCGTCAAAGGTAAAATAAATGCTACTCATAGACATGGAGGTTATACTCAACCTTATGCTCTAATCTTGTTAACTTTGGTCTCTTATAACACCATTGCTCAACTTGCTAATTTCCCATCCATAAAATCCGTATCTGTTGCAGCCATCGCTTCGCCGCTTTCTCCTGGGTCATTAGGTGTTGAGGATCAGCACCTGAGATTTAACCTTTGACAAGTCTGATTTAGGAACCGTATTTCATATAGACGCTAACACGCACAAATACACATACTCATACAATCGAGCAAAAATAACAGGACCAGTATGAAAGATGATTAACCAAACCACTCTATTTCGATCTATCTAGGTTTTTAATTTTTAATTTTTTCGACACGATTGAGTCTATATAAGAAGTAAGATAGAGCCGGATAGTGTTGTTGCTTTAGTGTCGACGTGATGATGTCCATCTTATGATGGACAAAAGCTCTGCACGTTTCTACCCGAAACGAGGTCTGATCAGACCAACGAATCTCTTCTTTATGCACTTTCATACGAAATGAAAGTCCCTCCAACAAGTTTGTCTCAGGAGATTAATCGAAACCCATTTTCTCTTCGTATCTACAATCATGAAGAATTTTAGTGAAGACATGCCGCAATAGTTTATCACTGGGTATGCTCTCAGCTTGTACAGTTTGGTCTCATAAAGCACCATTGCTCAACTTGCTAATTTCCCATCCATTAAATCCGTATCTGTTGCAGCCATCGCTCCGCCGCGCCGGTCACTATCCCAACTGCAAACCTGCAAATGAGGGTTAATCATAAAACTGTCTACCACCTCGTGTCGCCAAGCTTTCTGTCAATTCTGAGATGCTCTGTCCATCATATTTTATTTACGTCCTCCATTGGGCCAAAGAGCGAATCACAAAGTTGTCGAGCTCTTTGTCGGCAGACTTTATCACCAAATCTGCCCATAGTTGTCGGCGTGCTTGTCAGCTTCACGACTGACCCATTCTGTAGTATCTTGCCCACTTTGCCTGTTTTTTATTGGCTCGCCATCTTCACATCCTCACACTCGACTACACATCGGGCGCACATTCGCAGACCAGCTCGTGCAATCACTTGCCTCGCAGGCCAGAGACAATCTCAGGATTACTTCGGTCCCCTTTGTCGCCCACTCATGCAAACCCCCTCACCTTCTCTCCATTGTCAATGCTCCCTTGTCCTTTGTCTCTTGTCCCTCGTCCCTTGTACCATGTACCATGTACCTTGCCTCTTTCCCCTCATATTTCTTTCGCCATGCCCTCGAGCCCGTCCAGTCTACCCTCTTCTTACCGGCATGAATCATCACCCTATTTACGACTACACTTCGACATGGTCGATACTAACCTTTTACATACAGTAATTGTAGAGAATGAGTAATTCTTGCATAAGGTCTCGAGGTGATTTAAGGAGTGATAATTAGGTTTAGCCCACAGCACGAGGAGTAGGTCTCAAGCTGTCATTGCATTTCGTGTCTCAAAAGGCTATCCCATCCGAGTTGGTGTTGACCGCGATTTCGACCTCGCCTCAAACCCCAAATGGGATTCGTTACCGGTTTACGAGTGTGTCTCCATCCCATACCTACGTTTTCATTATCAAAGTACTCATGTTTATGAGATACATTCACCCCATTTCGTGTGAACGCGATGAAGGACTGGTAGCCGAATTGTCATACAATGCTATGAGTAAAGCTGACGCTTTCATTCTATTTCATAGAGACTTGTTTTCGCAAGAGTTGTTCCTATCCAGTTTCGACCTCGCATCAACTGGTCTTATCAGCACCCCCAGCGGGAGTCGAATCGTGACAGTGCAGCATGTGAACTTGACACGTCAACCACTCGGCCACATTGCCACGAGTGGCCTCGAGTCACAGGGCAGATGTGAATTTCATGTGATTGAATTGTCGAGATTATGCGCGCTTTACTACAGCGTTTCGAGTCCCGCTAGGGGCGTTGACGAGACGACGAGATCGAAACTGCAATCCAGTCTGAATGAGAATACCTTTCGCGAAAGCAAGGCTATGCGAAATTCAATGGAAGCATGGAGTCTATTAATAGGTTTGTGGGTGAATTCAACTTTCAGTCCTTAATAACCTTTAACAAAATTTGGGTAAATGCATCTTACGTATATGCTATTCTGTGAGTCGCAAAAAACATGCACTATGTGCCCAATTTAAGTTGTTACATGTGGCGTTATTAGGCTGAAACATTCTTTAATATTGAAAGTATGAAGACCAAGATGATGTGGCCTTTTGTGTGGTCGCAGTCTCCTTTTGTTGTACAGACGTTGTTTGACCTTGTTTTCGCAACTTGGTCATGTTGGTAGGAAAACTTAGACCACACCATCTTGGTCTTAATACTTCCGATTAAACTATGTTTTTT